CATCCTCCACTTCCGGCTCTCGGCCGGGCGTGCGCCGGAAATGACGAACAGATGCACCGCCAGCGCGGCGAGGAGAGGCGGGGCCGAGGGAGTCGGCGTCCATAGAGCTGCGAAAAGGGTAGAGAGACGCCCCCACGTAGTTCTTTGGAGTTAGCGAAGGGCCATTGCAAAGGAAGAGTTCGATTCGCACGACAGCCTAACCAGGTTGTAACCTGCATTGCTGCGCCAAAGCAGCCGCGGGCGTAAGGTCAGCTGCCTGGTCAACGGGCCTAATGCCCTGAGACGGGTCCTGATGTATCTTTGGGAAAGAAAGGTTTATTCTGGCGGGGTCTGAACGGAAACCCATGGCCGAGGCGTCTTTCCCTGCGTGCTGCACGTGGCTCTCGGTCTTGAGAGACAGGAGAGGCAGGATTATAACGGGGTGTCCTGCAGATCCGAAACCACCAGATGGCAGCAAAGAGACAGGAATCCCTAATTCTAGCTGCCATCTGTTGGCCATTGGGATTTTTGCAGCCCGCGTCTGACAGCTCTAAAGCAGCGTTTCTCAACCTTGGCCACTTCAAAACGTGTGGACTTCAACTCCCAGAATTCCCCAGCCAGCATGCTTTAAAATGCATGGACCTCAACTCCCAGAACTCCCCTGGGCTGCGGAATTCTGGGAATTGGAATCCACACATCCTCAAGCTGTCAAGATTGAGAAACACTGGCTTAGAGACTGGGCTGAAAGTAAGGGTTGAATATGGGAAGAAGCAAACTATGTAATGTAATCTTAACGGGGGTGGAGTGATACTAAGTTTGTCTGTAAAGAGGTTCGGAAATAGCTTCTTTAAGTACCTTTTCTTTTTTTCTTTTTTCTTTTCTGCACTTTTTCTCTATCTTTTCTTTCTTAACCTCATTGCTTGTATTATCTTTTACTCGTGTAAAAATCTCTAATCAAAATAATATTAAAATGAAAAAGGAGAAGGAGAAGAAGAAGAAGAAGAAGTTGGGCTCAAAGTGAAATAAGTCCATTATCTCATGATCCCAGGGAAAGTTTGGGTTGCTAAGGGAATCTGGGGTCCCTATAAATGGCAAATGAGGAAAGGCCCAGCATACACATGGGAGAAAGAGGGAATGTGCTGAGAACTGAAAGGGAGAGAAAATAAGATTGTCCTAAGAAAACATCCAGCAATGCCCCGTGAGCTGAAGAAAGTAACTAAGTAGGAACACCATATATAAACATGCTCATTTATATAGCTTTCTGATTGTGTTCAACAGGCTGAGCTTAAACGAAAGAGGTGAGTATCAGAAAACACTGTTTCCCTGAAGAATGATTCAAAACTCATTGGAAAGAGTCAAAGGACAATGGAAAGAGCTGCTTTGTATTTTATTGGTATGCACTGGCAGCTTTGCCTTTGGGACCAAAATGATTTAGTGGGCACGTTAAGGAAGAGGAAATGTTACTTGCTGTATTTTTGAGGAAGGGGGAGGAAAAAAGGAAAGGGGGCACCCAGATTTGAACTGAGGACCTCTTGATCTGCAGTCAAATGCTCTACCACTGAGCTATACCCCCAGTTGATTATTATCTCCAGCCTAATAAGCTTAGTTGTAGCTGTTTATTCTTTTCTCATTTCCCTTCTGGCTCTTTCCAGGAATGAGCTTATTTCAAGGAGAAGCAACTGTTTTATTTCCCACTAAGGGGATAGAGCTCAGCGGTAAAGCATTTGGCTGCAGATCCTTATTTTAAATCTTTGTTTAGAAAAGGCTGGAGCAGAGAGGTAAAGTTGTGATGCAATAGAGGAGCTGGAGGCAGTCTGCACAGGAAATGCATTTGCCCAATACACTCAGCTTTCCCTTAACTGCGTGTCAGAGAAATAGCTACATAGCAGATGGGCGGCCATACAAGTTGAATGAATTCATACATACATACATAAATATTGCCACAAGAGTATGCCAACCTCTCTTGCCCAACCAGTATCTCAACTACTGTAGTTGTTTAACCGTTCCTGTGGTTTTTTTAACTCTCTGTGCCAAGATGCCCAGCTAGGTGGCAGTGCCACAATGATCTTGGAAAAAGTAAGCAGGGTTGGATCTAGATAGTAATATGGATGGGAGTCTACTAGGACAGCCTAGGGTGGTGCAGTACGAAGGTACAGGAAGAAGGCAATGGCAAACCATTTTTTCTCTGCTGTCATGTAACTTCATGGATGGGTCACTAGGAGTTCAGCTTGACTTTTACCCCCAAGACATTCAATGACTCCATCAGGATTGGAGCCCTGCTTCTGAGATGGTCAGGGAGCGATCCTTCAGCCAGATGCTCTGTTTTGAATTTGAAAACTCTGCCTGGGTGGAGAGCTGAAAAGCTGTTCCTGCTGCTCACCTCTATGTTGGGAAATCAAAACGTTGAATTAACCATTGGATAGTTCCTCCATCCAGACTCAAATGCAGTGTTTCTCAACCTTGGGAACTTTAAAATGTGTGGACTTCAACTCCCAGAATTCCCCAGCCAGCAAGGGAATTGCTAATGACATGGAGGGGCCATAATTAACATTAGTAAGGTAAGTAAGAAATAAGCAAGTAAGGTGCGGTAATTGATCAAAATGCAAGGTAGAGTTTGCAAATCTCTGGAAGAGCAAATAGCATCGATCTCTCTTTTTACCACCTTTCAGCAATGAAGTTTTTTTTTTTTAAAAAAAGAAAGTCTCCTTTACTAATGCCTGGTGAGGTCAGGGGTATCTCTATACAGTTTTCTTCGTAACAATACAGAAAGTGGTTTGAATTTCTTCCTTTTGAGATGTTTTTTCAACTTCCTAGTCCTGGTGTTTCCTTGAAGTCTCCCATCCAAATACTAACTAGGTCTGTCCTTGATCAGATGTTAAAGATCCATCAGTGTCAGCTAAATGCTCCAATCTACCTGGACAAGGTATCCAGTCCTACCAACAGACATTTTCAAGCACCCTGAGAATGAGGTTGAAAACCAGAAAGCTCTTTCTCTGGGAAGAAATAAAATGTTTGGAAAATTGGAGAAGAGTTTTCAGCACAAGATTTCTAACGGCAAACTTAGGTGGTGTACCTTGGGAAAAATTATACCCAAATGGAGGCACTGAAAGAAAAACAGTAGTATTAAGGATGCTAGAGGAAAGCCCATAATAGTCAAGAAGCTTGCCTTTCCAAAATCCTAAAGGAACAAGAACTTGGTTCAAAAAATAAATAAAATAAAACTCACTAAGAATGGCCAGCAAGCATGGAATATTGACTTTCAGAAAAGAAAAATGAAAAACCGTATTAGGTGAGAAGGAATGTCCTGTGTGAGCTTTTAACCCCTTGAGGTATTCTGTTATTAGGTGAACATCCATCAAAAGGGCTTGTTGGAGGTCTCTCTTAATCCAGAAATGAGGCTGTATGCCTCCACGCATTGGCAGCTGCTCAAAAATAATGTTCTTACATGATGAGCAACAGGAAATGAGTTTTGTTGACAGGAATTGACCTACATCTGAGAGATGTGCCTCCAATGTTGCAGGGCAAGGGAAGAGAACCAAGGTGTCATGTTAAGGGCAGGAAAAACAGAGGGAGGTCACTGTGTCAACCTCTTGTCCCAGGAAGGTGGAGATCCAGCTGAATACACAGATCCCAGGCTGTCATTCCCAAGCAGAAGAGGGAAGCGATTTGAACGGCAGGCTCATTCCTGAGAGAGGAGCCTCCACGTTGGGTCTGAGTGGGAACTGTCTGCAGTGGAGTTTTCCAACACATGTTGCAAAAGATCTTGAGAAGCATCAGTGTGCTTTTCTGGCCCATATTCTTGACAGACTTCCCGCACCTGGCATGGATTAATAACAGTTACACCAACTGAAACACTGTAGGGTACCTCTTAACCTCCAAGTGGAATGTTGTTTGAAGAAGGCTTTTGAGCAATTTCGTTACTTTTATGGATAGGATACAATGTTGCCTTCCTTTTTCTTTAACAAATACATTTATATACACACACATAAACATGTGTATTCCTGCTAATTTGATACAAAGGAATGACTTTAAAAAAATGCTGTTGGGCATCCTAAGACAGGGTTCACCGATTGTGCTAAACTATGGTTGGTTGAGGAAGGCCCGGTTGGCAAGATGAGATAGTTGCTACCCCTTGTCATCGACTCCTGAATACAATAACATAAATGAGACCACCTGTTGCCCATTGTTAATCTATCATAGCAGGTAGCAGCTCCTACCCCAACTTGGCAGATCTCAAAAAGCTAACCAAGTTTGGATCTGGTTAGTAGGTGAATAGGAGACTATCAAGACATCCCAGGGTGGAGGCTACATTGAGAACTTAGAGAAATATTCTGGGAAAAGACAATAGCAATCCACTTCCAGATTGTTGCCAAGAAAAACCCAACAAACATGGATGGGTTCTCCAGGAAGTCAGAAAAAGTTGAGCTCAAATCAAACCACTTCAAGGTCCCTATTCTCCCTTCTTAGAATTTGTTGAGATTTTAGTAGACTTGGACTGGACAGTCCATCAAGAGGAGGATGTTTTCGAATGGAGGATTGGCAGCCCTTCAAATGGAGAACTAGTCTCAATAAAGCAGGTGAGCCTAGCTTCTGATGAAGATGATGATGATGATGATGTTGATGATGAAAGATCTACCATATGCAATAAATGTAAACAAACTTTTGTAACATTCTATGACTTGTATTCAATCATTGCTTGTTTTTGGGGGGGGGTTCTATAAACAGAGGTTCTCTCTCCA